AGCCAGCAGGGCCGCCGCTGCCCCGCGGCGCACGTCCCCGCTGTGGCCGCTGCTGCTGAGCGTCCTGCCGCCGCCTCAACCAGGGAAGCGGCTCCCTGTACTGCGGTTACGCATAGGCGCTGCCATGCTCCCCTCTCGGGCAGAATAGCCTAAAACCTCCAAAGCACCTTCAGTACTTTCTTTCAGATCCCTGTGTCATCAACAAAACACCCTTGGCTACTATTAGGCTGCTGATGGAGTGGGGTCCCTTCCTACTCTTCTTCCTGTGACCTTTGCTCATTTGGCCAGAAAGTATCTTTTGCTCACTGCTTGTACAGAGTCGGGTACTGCAGGTTTCTGCTCCGTCTTTGATTTCCTAAGTATTTGCAATACAAAGGAACGGGCACATAAATACCAGGGCACTCTGCACATTGCAAAGGGGCTACAGCTTCTCATGGTTATGGAGCAACTGAGAGAGGAGGCAGCTTCTCACAGAAAGTAGTTAATCACACTCTGGAAATACAACCAGTACCAGTAACCTCTTAACTTTGCTGAAATGCCCTAGCGTGACAGATGTCAGAATTCAGTCCTCTCATCCATGTACAGGTAACAGATCATATGCATTCACAACAGGGCTCCCCGATTAAGTTTATTCATTTTAGATTCTTGACCGATACCTTATTTAGCACATACCAGACTTTCGAGCACAGGGAATTCTGTCAGCATTTTTCAGCATGATTAGAAAACTAACTTCCTCAATCAAAGGTAATGAAAGCCCAAAGCGAGCAATTCCAGCTCCAACGCAGGGGGAGTGGTCAGGTGGGGCACTAATAAACTGCCTCACATTTATGGTTCTGCTAAGAGATTAGCAGGTTCAAACTCTTACTTTATGTCACACCACCTCCCTTAAGAAATACGGCCTTAAGCAATGCCTACATTGCACTGATTACCGTTCACATTGACACAGGGGACTCGCAGGAGGCCCTGAGCCTGCACCGTGCCTGTGCTGCAGCTCACAGCCCTTTCCCAGCATGGGGAGAAGCCAAGTGCCACACCAGGCATCACCGCTACAATTACAAACTACCCAGTTTCCACCAAGTTGGTTTTCTTGACTAATGAAAGAATCTGCCCGGCCCCGTCCAGGATTCAAATCTCCATATCTGGAGCCTTCGGCTTTAAGGGCCTGTACTATTTTTTGGAGAAAGGAGTGTTTTCCATCTAAGAGAGAACTGCTGCACATCACATCCAGTTAACACCCAAGGAGCCTGCGCAGTCTTCTGAAATTCAGCAAAAGTATCTACCTCTCTGAATACAATGGGTGCAAGTGTGAATTCTGCAAGTACTGTTTAATTATCTACATTACCATTCTTTATAACCAGAGATAAACATGTATCTTTTCAATCTGCAAATTAATAAAAGAAGGTATGACTGATAATAAACCCTTAAACAATAGTGTAGACAAGCTCTTTTGCTTCCAGAAGCCTTGCTGAAATTTTTTAGACTGGCCACAAGGGATATATCAAATTGTATTAAAGTTTTGCACTAATACTAACAACCTAACAAAAATCTATCTAAACTAAATATTATTTACTTCGATGGCTTCCTCCTGACCATCCAACCAAACAACAGTACAAAACCAATAAATTCACAGTAGAGTTAAGGGTTTCTAGAAGTTGGAAGTGCTGCAAATCCTGCTTTTTCAGTGGACGACCCTATGACACACAATGCTGCAAGAGGCATATTTGTGCATTCTCATCAACACATTATGCAGGTGATTATGTTGCGTTGCTTTCTCTGCAAAGATGAACTCTGGCCTGATTAATGAATACCCCCCTTTTGGGGGGCCTGTTCATTCAAGCCCCATCAAAAAGGCTCTTTTTAAACAACCCTCTGTGCGTTTCTCTGCTGTATACCCTTCTCTAAGATCACAGGAAAGGCACTACAGCTGGCACATGACAACATCAGAAACACCTTCCCAGTATTTACTTACCTGCCTCTCTCAGGCTGTACACTGAGTATATGCAAGCAAATAAACTAATGGCAGAAGATTTTGGCAGATTTACAGAACCTCCTGCTAGTTTTTTTTTTTTTTTTTAAATTAAAAACACTCAGATTCGAGACTTGAAGTTCCAACCTTCCTGTAAGGGGCTTTTTGAAATCCAGAGCTAAGTAAGGGTCTAACAAGGAAAAAGAAAGGCTGTATCTTGACTGCAGTTTGTCCAGCTTTATTGAAAACACTGTAAATGACAGTTTGAATCATAAACGATGACATAAAGAGAACAAGATGCTACTAACACCGCAGCATATTGAACTATAGCTAAGAGGAAACACCCCCAATCCTAACCAGTACAGTACTACTCACTTCTTATTGCAATTCAAATGGCCATATGCTGCAAGGAAAGGCCAAGTTCCGGATTTTTTTTGTTTTGTTTTAAAATCTCATAGGTAATCTAAGAGCAGCTCTCAGTAGAAAACTGCACTCACAAACATTAAGCGTTTCCACTCACTGTGGCTGAAAATATTTAAGCAGTCAAAAATTGCCTTCGAGTTGCTTAAATGTAAACAAGCTTTAAGAAATCAATGTGATAAAAGTAATTTTTTTTATTGCTTTCACTGCAAATTTTTTGTTATAAGAAAAATTAATTTATAAAATAAAGACTAAAAAACATGTGATCTTAGCTGCAATGAAGACTGCTTATCTAGTGAAAGTGATAAGATATTCTGGGTAAGCTTGAATGTCATTAAATATGATAAACATGGATGGTCGGTTCACATTGTCAGTTGAACTATCAAACAAATCTATAGAGTTACTAGCATTTTTTGCTGCTGGTGTAATTGCTCCTTTTTTCCCCAAAGAATATTCTCCAACAAGAACTCGAGCAAGGTACATGTACTTCTTCCCATTTGCATCTGGTTTAGAGTAGATGTCACTGGCAGAATAGTTGGCATTAACAGCAAAGTAAGTTCCGTTTCCAAAGTTTGCAGCTGTAGTCAAAAAAACAAAACAAAACAACACAACACAGATATTTGTGAGTCTTTCATAAGCAACAACCATTTACCTGTCAAGGGATTCACAGGCTCTAAAGCTGGCAGTTTTGCTTTTGTTTGCAATAGCTAGATTTAGCAAAACAAATCATTTTGCATACAAGGTAGAAATACACAGATAGCATGGCAAATTGCTCCTAGTCATACTCAACTTTGAAATTCACATTACCATTCATTCCAGCATAGCTCCGGTTAAATCCATTGTTGTTAATTAAGTTTAATGAGTCACTACTTGTTCCATGGAACAGAAACCGCTCATTATTTCTGTTGCCATTTTTCTTATCCATTTCAAGCTTTTTTATTTGGTAGGCCTTCCAAAAAAATGGGTTCTGTATCCTTTCAATCTACAAAGTTTGAAAGCAAGACACATTGTTAATAGTACTAACATCTTTAATGACAGTAAGCTTAAAAAAAAAAAAAAAGTCACTCCCCAGATTCTCTTCCTAGCTACAATGACTGTATACAAGATTATAAAGTAA